TTGTTTTTCATTTAATTCTTTTTGTTGTTGTTCAGCTTGAACTTCCTGTAATTTAAGAATTTTTAATAAAGCAACATATTGTTGTTGTTGTTGAGGATTATGTGAATAATGTATATGATTATTATTTGAATTATTAACAATACGAAATGCACTAGATTCATTTATAGATGATGATAAGGCAGATTTTGATCGAGAGCGACAGTTTGTATGATGATTATCTAATGTACCGAAATCTTGTTCAACTATTTGAATTGGTTTACGTGATGAACGTTTTTTTTCAATAAAAAAAGATATTGGTGGAGAATAATCATTTGTGTTTATGTTATTATTATTGTTATTATTTATGTTATCTGATGGAAATATATGACGTAAATGTGAACGTTTCTTTTTTTCCGAAGATTTTATTGATGATGATGATGATGATAATGTTGCCGAACCATTATTATTATTATTATTATTATATACTGTACGAAAATGTCCAGATGTTGACGACGACGATGATGATGAGGTAACAGCTGAAGGTACTAAAATAAATCTCGGATGGTTAGTGTTGCTTGACAAGAATCAAGAAGTTATTCTATGTTCATTTTACGACTGTTTATTTTCATTATCCTATGTCATTAACCTTCTCTCTCTCCTGTGACTATCGCTTTTTTCTCTTTTTGTTGCACATGCAAAACGATGAACTTTATATTGTATGTCGATGTGTCTGTATGAACAATTGGTGATTGTACATGTTCGAATATGTGTCAAGGTAGATTGTGTACATAGTTTTTGTTGATGTTAGTTAGTGACTTTTTTGTTTTGTTTTGATTGATAATAAGAAAGTTATTCACATCATTATTTTTGATATAGAAATTTAATCGAATAATTTTTAGTATTTTTTTTTTTTTGGAAATTTGAGTCCTATATTACATTAATCTTGCTTAATACAAAAAAATCGATCATATACTGTTGCAATAGTTCGATATATGTCACATATATTACGTCATGTGTAATATTCAAGATTGGCAGATAGACGAACATATGGTGACAACAGCCGTTCATCAATGAATCTTATATACTATGCTAATCTTTATAACGAACATGCAAACGACAAGCCGATTAGAGTAGAGGTGCTCGATATTAACTTCATTCTTCTCTTTCTTTTCATCGGCATTATATATTTACGCATGTTGTTCAATCGATGAAAGGATACTTTGTATGTTTGTTGTCTGATGTTAAGTGATCTACATATATATATATGTATGTATGTATATGCACACGTATGATTACATATTGGTAGTGGTGGTACTACTTCTTCTATCGATAGAAAAAGACGGGGTATCAATAGATCATAATAATGGTGTTACTTTGAACTTTTACATGCAAAAATAATGCATTAGACCGAAAGGAGTGGATGGATAATGGAGACTTGAATAGAAAAAAAGTACAATACAAACAATTTTGAGCAGCCATCTTGTCTCTCAAGAAAATTTATGACATGACATGTATACACTTAAGATTAGGAATGAAAAGAAGAAAAAAAAAAGAAGCATAAATGCAATTCTAGATACTTGGCATATTTCAGAAATATGGTGCCTTACTGAATCGCATTATTGTCCAAGGCTTTGCATATGCATAGACATGTATTGTCTTTATTTATAGAACAATAAAAAATATTAACATACTCTCGACATTTGACTGTTGTTGTGTTGGTGTCTTTCGTCCATCTAAACTTTTCGAACGTTTTTGATTATTTGATACATCTGTATTTGATAAATTTTCTTTTAAAATATAAGTCCAATCAGGATGATGAATAAGTTCAAATGTTAATTCATTTGGCGATAATGTTCGTTGTGTACCATCAGGTGCACGTTCAATTAATGAATATCGTCCAGCTTTACCTTTATATTGAGCTAATGCAATAATGATATCATGAACAGAGGTCGTTCGAGTTAGATCACAGATAATACGCGCAACACCATCAACATACACTCGAAGATCCATACTGGCGCATCATGAATTGCTCTATTTGAGAGTATAAAAAGAAAAGAAGAAGCAGAAGAGAAGAGAGAAGAAGAGAAAGAGAGTAGTAAGAACAGAACGCATACAACAAATTTTACAATCAATCACTGATGTTGCTAGTCGTCGTCACTGCTGCCGAACGAATGTAACAAAGAAAAGGGAAGAGATTCGCGTCTAAGCAAATAAGAGGAAAAGAAGAAGAAGGAACAAAATCAGATAGGTATAGACGAACACACACACACACACAGTTCAATGTGTATATTGAGGCTTGCCAACGACCATTCAATCATTGTCAAATGAGAAATATGGTATGGACTATCATCTTAAGATATACGCATACATACAAGGAAAGAAATACTACCTATACGTGAACTAACAATGAATACATAAGCTTAGATTGAGTGTATTTGAAGAAGAAAGAAAAAATGTATATGATGATATATCTCTCAATTAAACCAACGTTGTCTGTTACGTGAAGTTCTATTTCATCTATTTGAAACTAAATAGAAATATTACGATTTATCATTAGATTATTTTTCTAGTTAAAATAAAATAATTTAATTAAAAGATCATATTAGATTTCAACAAAAGATAACAATACATTGGCATTGAATTATTTTATATAATTATCAAATTTAATTTTTTTATTAAAATATAACAATAGAACTGATATGTATATGAATTCATATTAATTTAAAATGATAGACAGTTATACAAGATAATTTTATTTTAATTAGATTTCTATCATTTCATAATACTGTTATAACATATGAGAGTGAATAAAAACGATACTTTTGTATTTTACAGAGTTATCTCTCACATTGACTAAATCGTATGTTAAGCTGAAAGGATTAACAATTGTAATTGTCAAATGTTAAATAAGCAATGAATGAAAGTAACATTGATATTGTGCCAAAAAAAACACTATTGTCATAGTATTTGTTACTGATTAATTTACAAGTATCATCTATTATGTATAAAATCTTCTTTAGTTCAATATGTTGTCACACTCGAATTAAAACTATTTTCATCTTGGTAACGAACTCATTTCGTATTTTTCTCTATTCTGTTTGAGAGCGCTGACGGGACATTTTTCTAACACAGAGCATTCCCGACGTGCTTTGTTGAATATCAAATCGGTCATCATTCTATCTTGTAGAGAAGAAAAGGAAACGAAACAAGCAACACATAACATCATTCATTTGTTTGCATAAATAACATTCATATACGTACACATATTCAAAAAAGAAGAAAAATGACTGTTGTTACAAATGAAAAAAAATTCGATCGCTTTTGGACTGTTACTGCTGGATCGCTCAGTTTACTTGCATTAGTTTTTACTATTATTGCATTACGTACATCGTAAGTATTTTATTTTTCTTTAAATTAACAAAAAAAAAATCTATTCATTTATAGTTCTTGGACAATTAATGAATATTCTTCAGATGGTGAAGTTCAATGGCATGGTTTATTTTATACATGTAATCGTATGAAATGCACATTACAATATGATAATAATTTTTGGGTTATATTTCTAACAATACTTAGTGCATTATTATTACTTCTTGCAACAATAATGATATTTCTAATGGGTGTTCATAGTTTTCCTCGGCGACATTTTTACATCACACCATTAATTGAATTTTTTGGTGTATTGTTATTATTGGTTTCGCTTGTTCTCTACGCACGTCAATCGTTAATAAATGGTATTAGTGCACGTTTAATAATTACAGCAATTGTTTTAGGTTATACAAGTCTTGCAATTGTTGTATTTGTTGCTGGAAGATATTCAATTTTTTATAAAAAAAATCCAGCAGACTTTCATTATTCAAAGACGGAAAAGAATGAAGCGGTTAAAAGAGTTGAAGAAGAACAAGCAATGGAACGTGGAGAAAATTAATGAATTATATTAATAGTTTTGATTAGATATGTATCTGTATAAAGTTTTTCTTTTTGTATATTATTCAAAAGAAGTGTAGTTTATCTGTTGTTTATTCTCTCTGTTAATAACAAAAAATAAAATTTATCAATCTGTATGAAGTACAACATAATTCAAGATAAAAACTTTTGGTTATAACGTAAAAAGAATCACATCAGAAGGATTAAGATGTTTGTTTTACGTCTTATTGTCAAAGACATAGTGTCAACAGTCTATTCGATTGGAAATCAAACCTGTTCATATCTATAATGAAATACTTTTTATCAACATTAGATAATTGTGTTTTATAATGTTAGATTTTTTCCTCTTGTTAAATTGTATAATTGAATAGCGTACTCAATATATTATTCATTAGTCATATAATGATTGAATTATATTTGACCTTTATTTCATAGTTTATTTTTTTATGTTCATAGAAGTTTAAAACAGTAGTTTTAGTTTGCCGAAAAGAATAGAAGTTTTTTTTATTATTTACTTTATTAGAAAAAAAGTTTAATAGAAAAAAGAATAACTCCGACAAGAATTGAAACAATTAGATATATATAATAATCTTTAACAGATGCAACTGAAGAAAAAAGATTCGTTTAGTTTTTTAAACATCAGATTCATCAAATGAATAAGTTCGTTCACTACTACTACTGGTACTTTTAGACCATTTCAGGTATTTTTCTCGATCATCATCATCATCACTATCTTCAATATTTAAAATCATTCGAGCTTTTAAACAATTATTATATGATTCTATTGTTCGATTAAGTTCTTTATCAATAAGAAATATAGTATTCAAACCATCTTCACTTAATACACGAAGACGTATTGAACGATCATTTGAAATTCCAGTTAATTGACGAATTTTAACCTATTTTATATTTATATTTTATCAATTCGAATAAATAAAAAATTTCAATGCACATACCAATAAATTTTCAATGGTCATTGTTTGCTGAATATCCAATAGTTGATTGAAAAATCCATTATATTGAACAAATAAACTAATAGTAGATACATCCGAATCGCAATTATCAGATGATGACGATGATGATATAGTATCATGCGATTGTAACTGAAGACGACAAAAAAAGAAGAATTATAATAAACGAAATAAATTTATTTTTACATTTTTAAGTTGTCCTTTAACTTCGCGTAATTCACGTTGTGCTTTAACCAATTCCTGAACAATAGGATACATCTTCTCTTCCTAAAATAAAAAGAAGAAATAATAAAAACAACATCATAGATTCTATTTTGATGTTATCTAAAAATATATCTTCTCATTTCCAATTAGTATTGAATGAATTGTCAAGTATTCTATTTTTAAGAACAAATCTACTTGACATATAATCAATCGATTTATGTAAACTAATTGAAAATTTCGATATAAACCAGAATGAATCAACTATGATTAAACTTAATTAAAAAATTAACTTACATTTTGCTTTTGATAATCGCTGATCAAGATCTTTAACATGCCTTTAAATGTCTTATTTTTTTCGCGATACATTCTATTGAATAGGATGATAATTGATCAAAATAGTGAATGTTAGAAATTTTCTAACAAAAAAACACCAGCGTTTTACCGTTTAATTGTAACTTTAATAAAATGCTACTATTCATCGTGTTCCTTTTTTTTTTTGCTTTCTCGTTCAATTTTATTTTCTTTGCTTCTATATTTACAAAGATA